TTATTAAAAGAAGCATCCGTCGAGGAACAAGCTTGACAAGAAGGCCAACAACACATGCGCTTCTCTAGAATTCCAGTGGAACAATGTCAACGAACCCGGCACTCCTCCGGACTTCCCAGAGAGAACGTCGATATTTGGGACACTCCTTCTAGAGCTTCCCCTTACTATCTACCTAATTCCACATACTAAAGTGATGCCTAAAATATGAAATTGAGTTGTACTTCACTTGAGTTGTGTGTTTTGGATGTGAGTTGAGCCTCTCCTTTTATAGCCTCCATATAACGGTTGGAATGACAGTTGTGGAGGTTGGTGCACCCACAACCACCATCAACAACCAATAGTGGGTCGCCAAGTGCAAGGAGGTGGCGGGGAGAGGGGAGGAGGGTGGTGCCAACCTTGGTTTGGTCGAACCCCTCGTTCGATCGAACCAGGCACACCGCATCTAGCCACCCACATTCTCTAGTGTATGCCAGGTGAGTGATTATGGCGGTTGGCAATGGATTAGCTCAAATTTAGTCGATTTTGACTGACATGTGGGCTCTCCGATCCTTGTGCTTACGTATGATTGGTCAGAGGTACATTTAATCGCATGACGAGTGTGTTTTCCTTCAGAAATCAACTACATACCACTATTTACCAAGACTAGAGGAAATAGTTAGTAATAAACCCCTACCAATAAGTTTGATATTATATTTGGTATTCTTTTATGTAGGAGTTGATAGTGAAAGTTCGCACTTAATGACCATCAACAATAATCACAGATATCCAATTAAACAACCCAAAACCGATTCCAGTCAGAAACCAGCCAGTTAGATCGTCAGGCTGGTCGGTTTGACCGCACAACACACGCCGGTCTGACCGGCCTAGTCTATCCGGCCTGACCAGAGCACATAATTAGCACCAAACCACTTCGCCAATAATCTCCAAATATCAAAACCAATAACCTACCATGCCAATTGTTCATCATCAAAATATAATCAAAACACACATTGATTTTACAATAGAATCATGTCAGATGATACAAATTGATCGATATAGTGAGATGATAGTGTGCACATGTAGGTAAAAATTAACTATACTACGCAATTAGGTTAAGAAACCACAATAATAAAAATCATAAACTTGTTGTGAAAAGATACTAATGAAGCTAAGATCATAGGGGTTCACTAATATGATCCTCATTCAGGCAGTGTGCTGAACATATGACATGCACATCTGAAAATATTTCCATGGAACAAATGTAACAGAAAATTGAATCATCCGACAACATATGGTTGGATCTACAAAGCAAAGAAGAAACAACTAACTTTAAACAATCAAATGGTCAAATCGAACAGTGTAAACAAAAGAAGCACACATGAGCACTGCAAATTAAGGAGGAAAAGGTCATTGGAGGTGGTGGTATCCGAAGCTTAGCGTCAACATATATGGCTACTGTCTGTTAGCAATAAGGTAATGCATGTTGTTTTTTCATCAGGCCAGTGCCACACCACGTGCGAGGCACGCCAGGGCACCACTTGCCATCAATGGAGAAAACCAGCTGCCTCTAGCACCACAACTCCACAAGGAGACCCTACTAATCAAAGAAGAAACCCTAAGTACTTCACGTGGTACATGGGCCTCATGTGGTGGCTATTGCGTTTTGTTCATCCAACGCCTAAAATGTAATCTAATCTAGTGATCCAACGGCTGAGAATTGATGATGACGTGGAACATTGAGGTTTGAGATTTAGGGTCTTAATTGCATTTAGTGTGTCATAACTTTATAAAGAAGGGATTTAGTCATTGGAATATTATATGCACACAATTGAATGTAATAATGATAAATGTCTGTTATTTTATTAAACTCTGAAATGGCACATCGATATCGGTTTGTCTCAGAAAGTTCCATCCCTAGAAATAAATCAGAATAGCCTCCGAAATGGGAATGATAAATGTTGACAGTCAAAAAATGGAAGTTCTTGCTAGAACCTTTGGCTGCACAAGTGGGGAGATGCCCTTCACTTATCTAGGTTTACTAATGGGGACCACAAAACCAAAGATTATTGACTTTGCCCCTCTGGTTGACAGAGTGGAGAGATGGCTCCCATCTATAGCTGCTTTTCTCAATCATGGTCAGAGACTAACAATGGTAAATTTTGTTCTATATGCTCCCCCTAATTTCTACATGTGCACTCTTAAGCTTCAAAAAAAGTGATTCAACACATAGACAGAGCAAGAAGACACTGTCTTTGGAGGAAGTCAAATGATCCAAACACTAAGATCCACTCCTTGGCTACATGGGACCTAGTATGCCAGCCAAAGAAGAAAGGTGGTTTGGGCATTATAAACCTGGAACTGTAAAACATTGCCCTTCTGACCAAACATCTGGACAAGTTCTTCAACAAAAAAGACCTGCCCTAGGTAAAACTAATATGGAACAAGTAATACTCTTTGTCTGACTCTCCTCATGCTCACACATAAAAAGGATCCTTTTGGTGTAAGGACATTTTTAGATTGATTCCCATCTTCAGAGCAGTCTCAAAGATCACTATTGGCAATGGGGACACGGCCCTTTTCTGGAAAGATAACTGGTCTGGCAAGTTTTTACAAGATGAAATGAACTCCCTATTCTCTTTTGCTAAGAATAAGGACATCTCCTGTCAAAGCTTTTTAGAGCTCGAGAGTTTAGAACAGGCTTTTCACATTCCTCTCTCTGTTCAAGCTTTACAGCAATGGCATCTCTTGTCCAACCTCATTCAGGAATTGCGCAACACACAATGTTTGGATCAATGGTCATATCAGTGGAATTCGCAGCATTTCCTCTCCAGGAAATTCTATAATTTGTTCTTTGCTCAAATCCAGCATGCTGCACCCATCTCTTGGATATGGAAAACAAATGCACCCTAAAGCTGAAAGTATTCCTCTGGTTACTTTTGATGGATAGATTAAACAGCAAGGACCTCCTACAAAGAAAACATTTCAATACCCAAGGAAATGATAGATGTGTAACTTGCAACTCCTTGACCACAGAAGACTCATTCCATCTGTTTTTCACCTGCAGCTTTGCTCAGCAATGCTGGCACAACATTGGCATTAATGGGAATTTTCACACAACCTTCATGGACATGATAATAGAAGCAAAAGAGAATTTTCAATTTCCTTTCTTCATGGAGACTTTTGCAATCTGCTGTTGGAACATTTGAAGCAGAAGAAATGATTTTATTTTTAATAATGTTCCAGTCAATTTTCAAAGGTGGAGATCTGATTTCAAGGAAGAGTTTACTCTACATATGCATAGAGTAAAGAAATCTGAACAAACCCTCTGGCAATCATGGATTCAGCCTTTTGATTAATTATTTCCCTTCCCTCTGTAATTCTCTTCTGTTTTTTTCTCCTTTTGTAAATTGTTCCCTTGGTTTCTTAACAAAGCACAGTAAGAGCCTCTCCTGTTGTTTTACCCGTAAAAAATGGGAGTGATAAGTTTGATCACTCGACAAGTGCTATATGCTCAACGGCTCTTAATTACAGTTTTACTTCTGTTTAAAACAAAATTTAGATCCATAAAAACTCATGCAATTTCTAGATATAACAGTATTTTAAACAGTCATTTTTAGACAAGAAAAAAAATTGAACTTTCTTTAATGTGCATGCTTGGATGGGGGAGGAGTGGCAGCGGGGGAGAAGGAGGGAGGACGGTCGAGGGGGTGGAAAAGCGGTGGCGGAGTGGATGTTGTGCGCTCGGTCAAAAAGATAAAGAGGAGGAGGGGCAAGATGCCTACCGGTTTTTTTAAAAAACCGACACCTATGCATACTTTATAGGTGTCGATTCTATTAAAAAACAATAACTATAGTATTGGTATCAGTTTTTTCTCTATAACTGACACCTATAATATAAGTATAAGCGACGATTCTTTTAAAAAACCAACACCTATAATATTGTTATTAATTTTTTCTGTAGAACCGATACTTATAGTATTTAAAGGTGTCAGTTCTATATTTTTTTCAACATGTGAAAGTGGAAATAGGTTCATAGGTGTCAGCTTTAAACTGACACCTACGAAGGATTAGTAGTGATTGGCTGGTGTGGCTGATGCGTTATACATCAAAAGATGTATACGCGCGATTAATTTAACTGGTCAAGCCCATGACAGCTAAAAACAAAACCTTTCTTGGACAATAGAAAACGAAAACATCCGCCTCTGCCATATAAAAACTTGACCAAAGTCAGGCATGATTATGAAGCACTAATTAGTGCACATGATCTAGGTGTTTGGTCTCCCTAATCTCACAAAACAAAGACATCCACGACCATGAACACGCAAAACAGCTCATGCGACATTCTGTCCAAACAACATTATACACGCAGACAGCCTATGTACCACATACACACATACAGGAAAGCAAATCATATTAATTAGTCACGGATGAACAATCACAACATCGACCCCTGCTGATGGTGATATTTTACATGATGGCCATCTTTCAGTAACTTCATCTACAGGAAATTATTATTTTTATATAATTTCATGAATGGAATATATGCCCCCAGTCCCCAGATATATATATATATATATACACACACACACACAATGAAAATTGTTTTTTATAAGATTGACAAACATGGTACAATATTAATTTGACATCCCTATAAAATTTTCAAGTCTAATATAAACACACTTCTACTCACAACTGAATTAGTCTTGTTTGTGTGGTGATAGATTCCCCACATAGATCAGAATCCATTTTCCATGAAGCACAGGTGCTGATTCACATGATTTTCCATATAGGATCGAGCATATTTCTGAGCAATCAAAGATATAAAGATCAAAAAAATACCCTGTTCCCCAAACCCAACAACTACGTAAATGCATGTCCCTCTCAAAACCTCAAATTAAAATTGACTCACCCCTAAAAGTTTTCCAGCCCCCTCAGTGGGCCCCACTACACACGATCAGCATGAAGTGAACACATGCTTTCACACACCATAGTCTCTCTATATACATCTCTCTCTATATATATACGCACTAACACCAATAGCTAATGATGCATGTAAAATACATAACCCTCACTTGATCATCATCACCAATAATTCCCCATTTGCAACACACACCATGGATTTGGAGAGCTGCAGCTACGTGCTGCCATTGCTGACGTGCTGCCTCTTCTTGCTCTACTCCATAACCTGCTATGCCTTGGCGGCGGCGGCCGGCGGCGGCGGTTCTTGCGGCGGCTCCGACGATCACGCCGCTCCCCGGAGCTACCCGCTGGTCGGCTGCCTGCTCGACTTCTACCGCAACCGCCGGCGGCTTCTGGCGTGGTACACGGGCCTCCTCGCGGCGTCGCCGTCGCAGACCATCGTCGTCGACCGCCTCGGCGCGCGCCGCACCGTGGTCACGGCGAACCCGGTGAACGTCGAGCACGTCCTCAGGGCGAACTTCGGGAACTACCCCAAGGGGAAGGCGTTCACGGACGTGCTCGGCGATCTGCTCGGCGGCGGCATCTTCAACGCCGACGGCGAGCGGTGGTTCGCGCAGCGGAAGCTGGTGAGCCACGAGTTCAGCGCCCGCGTGATGAGGGAGGCGGTGGGCGTCGCGCTGGAGCGGGAGGCGCGCGCGAGGCTCCTGCCGGCGCTCGACGCGGCGGCGGAGGGTGGCGGCGGCGTGGTCGTCGTCGACGTGCAGGAGCTGCTCAGGCAGTTCGCGTTCAACGTGATCTGCAGGGTGGCGCTCGGCGGCGGCGGCGGCGAGGTGGCATTGGCATTGCCGCTGTCGAGGCTGGCCGCGGCGTTCGACGCCGCCGCGGCGATCAGCGCCAGGCGTGGCGCGGCGCCGGTGGCCGCCGCGTGGAAGGTGAAGCGCGCGCTGGGCGTCGGCTCGGAGCGGCGGCTCAGGGAGGAGGTGAAGGTGATACGCGACGCGATCATGGAGTTCGTCCGTGACAGCAGCAGCCGCCGGCGGCGGGAGCAGCTGCTGGCGGCGGCGCGCGGCCGCGACGACCTGGTGTCGCGGATGGCCGCGGCGGGGTACCCCGACGAGGCGATCTGCGACATGGTGGTGAGCTTCATCATGGCCGGCCGCGACACGACGTCGTCGGCGCTGACGTGGTTCTTCTGGCTCATGACGCGCCACCGCGACGTGGAGCGGGAGGTCCTGGACGAGGTCGACGCGTGCATGGGCGACGGCGGCGATGGCGGTGGCCTCGCCGGCGTGGACCTCGAGGGCTCGCGCAGGGCGCGGGTGCTCCACGCCGCGCTCTGCGAGACGATGCGGCTGTACCCGCCGGTGGCGTGGGACTCGAAGCACGCGGCGGAGGACGACGTGCTCCCGGACGGCACGCGCGTGGGGCGCGGCGACCGCGTCACCTACTTCCCCTACGGGATGGGCAGGATGGAGGCCATCTGGGGCGCCGACGCCGGCGAGTTCAGGCCGGGGAGGTGGCTTGCGGCGGCGGCGGCGGGCGGCGGCGTGTCGCCGTTCAAGTACCCGGTGTTCCAGGGCGGGCCGCGGACGTGCCTCGGCAAGGACATGGCGTTCGTGCAGATGAAGTTCGTGGCCAGCGCCGTGCTCCGGCGGTTCGAGCTCCGCCCCGTGGCGCCGGAGGGCTCGCCGGAGTTCGTGCCGCTGCTCACCGCGCACATGGCCGGCGGCCTCAAGGTGACGGTGAGGAGGAGGCAGCGGCAAAATGGCACGTGCGAGACATGAAGCCAATTTTAGTATTTTTCTTAATAGGTTCTTAATAGATGACGCTGTTAACATTCGAATATACGTTTGACTAATTATCTTTTTAAAAATTTTTTAATGTAAGTGTATAAGATATGAATCATGCTTAAAGTATTTGTGAAATATATTGTATATGGTAGTTAGATATTAATATTTGAGTCATAATATCTTATACTGCGAATATTTGACTCATTGTGGATTCCTTCAGTTCTTCCATATCTGTAATTTTTCTTTATCTTCTTCCCATGTACTCCTATATGTACCTGCCTCCGCAGGCTTAATACAATAAGTCAAATATTCACAGTATTCCTTTCTTCCTATAATATTCAATATGGTATCAGAGTGGGCGATCTAGCGCCGCTCGAACGCTTCCGCCACTGCTGCCCCTCCTCCCCGGCGAGGAGTAGCGATCTCCAAGGGCGGCCATCATTTTTCCTTTATTTTTTCCATCGTCTGCACCGTTGCCTGGAGGAATTGATTAGAGTCATAATAGAATATGATTGATTTGTGTGTGGACTCCTTCATATATGTAATCTTTTCTTATCTTCTCCCAACATACTTCTATATATACCGGCCCTATAAAGGCTTAATAAAATGGGTCAAATATTCGTGGTATTTCTCTCTTCCTATACTATTCAACAGGATAAAATAACTCACAATAAAATAGATAATAATTAAGTAACTTTTTAATAAGATGAATGATCAAAAGTGTGTTAAAAAATCAACAGTGCCATCTATATTTAAAAATTGAGGGAGTACTTATTGTATATCTATACAAATATTCTCCATTGTTTTGATTTGAATAGATATATGTACCTATGGTGACTTTAAGTTGAATAGATATATGCATTATTTTGATTAAATTTAACGAAATTTCTACTTTTTATTTTCTGAAGTGCCGAGTATTTCTAGTAAAATCATTGGGTTAAGTATTACGATCTTTTTAAAATAGAGTAAATTACACCTATGGTACAATAAGTAGACAGGTGGGTGCGATTTAGTACAAGAATTTGAGAATGGGACGTTTAAGTGCAATAACTTGGCAAGGGTGCGCTTTAATAAAAGAATTTGGTACTTTAGTATTTTAGTACAATAACTTGGCTAGATATATGCTATTTTGGTTAATTGGTGCTATGTATGTTTTTTCACGATGTTAATTTGTCATCACGTAGCAATCCCGAAGTATTATCTTATAATGTTTGATGTAATCTATAAGAATATATTGCTCAACTAATTTGCACCATCGATTTAGATTATTTTTTTTCACCGTCTCAAATACCAAATAGAAAATTTCTACGCAGTATGACAAAAAAAAAAGTATGCCTATACAAATCTACATAAGTATGTCAATAACTGAATAACTGTGTGTACGTAAAAACTGAGTTCATATAGTTAAAAATTCTCAAAATAATTAAATTTTTACACCACTTCTCAAGTAGTTGTACCCATACGCTCATTTATTAAATTCTTATACTATGTTGCACCCACTTATCAAGTTGTTGTACTACCATACTCATTTATCAAGTTCCTACACTAAATTGTATTTACTTGTCAACTTGATGTACCATGAATATATATAACTAAACTATTCTTTTAAGTATGTGTATTATTTCACTAAGGAGAAAACGATGGGGAGTGGCTTAAATGACGCCAAAGAAAAACAACAGACAGAAAGTAGAAGATAATGTTGGATAGTATAGGAGAGGAGATAACACCATAGCTAAGCATTATTAACACTTACGTTATGACACCAATATCTCAATTTTCTAGATTTTCCATTGACAAGATCGTCATGCAAAAGCCAGTGGTGGACTGATGGATGTTATTGTGTAATTTTCGCTATGTTTTGCCCTAGTACATATGTTAAATGCTTTTGTGTACATTTTTTTTTCTAAGTTTGAATATCTTTATCTTTATTTGTAAATATTCCTCAAATCAAAATTTATTCATTTCTCGTCCATTTTCTAGGAAAGGAGAGTTAAGTTTGGTCTATAATGTAGGATATATAAGAGGAGCGTGATGAGGTTAAATCATCACTGGAAGGGTGAGAAAAGCGATCGACCAACGTAACCTTTTTTTCAAGTACCGGAATAATTAGACATACGTAGTTCAAACAGTATTTTCAAAGCTTTAAAAATTAAAACTCTATATGTTTAAAAACGTGGTATCCACTTTATGACCCATATTCACTTCAATGTCCTTCCCACGTACTCCCTCCATACTCGTAAAGGAAATCGTTTAGGACAGCGACACGGTCTCTAAAACATAACTTTGACTTCTTATTGCTATAAAAATATTTATTGAAAAGTGATATATGTATACTTTTATGAAAGTATTTTTCAAGACAAATCTATACATATAATTTTTACATTTTCAAACTCAACAACTTGAGAGTTATTCATGATTTATATTCGTAAGGTTTGACTTAAACATTGTCCTAAACGACTTCCTTTATAAGTATGGAGTAGTATGGCGGTAGCTCCACATGGCCAACATTTGCCCTCTCCATTATGAAAATACTCCCCCTGGTTTGTATGTCAACTTAAACACAGTTAACCACAGTGACGGTTCGCTAGGATGTACATAAAGAAAGGGCTTAAGAGTCGAGTCTTGGGGGAGCCTAATACACTATTACTTAGTTTAACTATTTAATTAGTTACATAATTATATGTGTTATAAATTTGTTGGTTTGAAACGGGAGGTAGTATGCCAAACACTACGTTCAATGCAAATTTGATCAATGCTTTTATGATAATATATTTGCAAAACATTATGACAATATTTTAAAGATATTTATTCATATATTATTTTCATGCATATATCCAATAAAACTACTGAAGAAGTCAATAACATCTTCCATGACAAAAGGGTGCAACAGTTTTTTTATTGTTCAGGAAGGTCGTCATTTGTCTTCTTCAATATACGCGCATGCAAATTATTTTGGGAACATCTCACATGCTTATTACTATCAATACCTTTGGACCATTATTGGAACATAAACCAGGAGATACCAAACATTTTTATAGAAAAACAAACTAGCAGAAGGAGTGTGTCAATTATACAATGACAAATATATTGGCAATATATAGGCAGTTAGCCATGAGGAGATTATAGGCCTGTTTGGTTTGATGTGCAAACATGCAAGCTTGCCAAAAAAATTGGCAACACCAATTTGGTTTGATGTAAAAAAATTGGCATTGCCAAAGTTTTGGTGGAAAACAAAAAGAGCTGAAGAACTAGAAAAAAATTGACACCAGACCAAACTGGCCTAAAAGAACTTCATCACTGCCAATTATAACCAATCCGACAGCGATAGCCGGGTTTAATTATATTGCCAATTTGTGGTAGTGATAATAGTACACAACAAGTTGATGAATGACATGGTGTTCAACAACACAGTACATGGCACATGTTTTTCACCCGGTCATATATAGTATATTATCACAATCAATATGTATGCAAATGTCTGCGTCGGAATCTGCTAAGTACATCCTGCGTTCCGATATAACTAGTGTATATATAGTCGCGCATTCATGCGACTTTAACCTTTCTCTATGCTAAATATCTCTACATATATTATTTATATGGAAAGCGGTTCAGTTTTCTTTTGGTTTTAATCTTTCACTTAGTATATCTCATATTTTTAATAGGTGGCTTTTAGGGGTTGACAAGAAAAATAGTAAACTGATATTTGTCGGAGCTTCGGCCATTTGTTGGGCTCTATAGTTGAGTAGAAATGATATGGTTTTTGACAAATCACCATCTATTTTCTTTATAAAGGTAATTTTTAGGGCAACTCATTGGCTCCGGTTTTAGGTACAATTACAAAGGTGTGATGAAGATGGAGAATTTCTGAAAGTTGCATGTCGTAAGTTGGAGACGTCGGTTATGCAACTTTTTGCCAACTATAGATGGAGATTCACAAATAGGCTTGAATAAATGTGATCTTCTTATTTTGGATTTTCCTATTTAAATGTTTGGTGTGTTCTATTTTATTTGAACTACACTTTTATCTCGAGTGCTACTTTATAATAATTGGTTGTAGCTCTTCTTGAGCAAAGGTTGAGATATTATATTGCATTATCTAAAAAAATATAATATTTGTAGTAATAAATTATATTTACTATATGCCTTAACCTTCCTCTATATTGAATGCTTTTATATGCTAGTTGAACTAATTAATTATATTGTTTATAGATACACTAATAAGGAGGTGGATTTGTGATCTATTTAGTATAAATTGAGGATTCATTTGTTTTTAACACTAAACCAATATCCATTCACTTGCTCATGATTCATCTTAATTCTTACTTATGTTTAGTTAGTTAACCTATAAAATTTTGTAAGTTTTGTTTTATTTTATTAAAATTTTAGGTAATCTAAATTCATAATTTTTCAGTTCAGAAGATCTGCTCATTGCCAAAAAAAATTGAGATGGTTAATTTTTGTGCTGAACAAAACTGGAGATCGATAGTTTATACTCCCTCCGTCCCTTAATATAAGGGATTTTGATATTTTGCTCGCACTGTTTGACCACTCATCTTATTCAAAAAAAATTGTGCAAATATAAAAAATGAAGAGTTATGCTTAAAGTACTTTGGATAATAAAGTAAGTAAAAAAATAAATAATAATTTCAAAATTTTTTGAATAAGACGAATGGTCAAACAGTGCAAGCAAAATGTCAAAATCCCTTATACTAGGGGACGGAGGGAGTACAATGTAAAAAATAATTGTAAAGAATACAATTTCAATAGTAAGACCAGTCATAAAAACTCCAAACTTCCAAAATTCTAAAAACAATGAGTTTTTAATTGTACGTAAGGTACATTTAAAAGGTTACCAGTCCTGAAAACTCAAAACCTCCAGTGTTATGTAGCACCATCCTTGCCACTCTCCCATTGGATGGCTGAGATTCATTCTACTGTTTTTGTCCTTTTACCAATCCTATGCTCATTATTTACTACATTATGTGGCTCTTTATGCTTGCATTATCAGATTGTCTTTCACTTGTTAAGATTGTTACCGGTGACCAGTATTGTTGTAACTTTGAGACCACTATTATTTTTAATTAATTAGATTATGATGCAAGAAATTTTAATAGTATGCAATATACTTCAATAAGATGACATCTATTTGTGTATTTAGATTTTTGAAGAAAATTGTGAATGGTTAAAGATTAA